CCAAGGCGTTTGAGAACCAAGGTACCACTGTACTTAAAAAAAAAAAAAAATAGAAAAAGAAGCCCTCAGAGAGTCATTTGCTATGCATTTCCACAGTTCATTTTACAATGACTAAGTCCCACAAAGAAAGCAGGCTCCACAGTCACCTCTGTGTCTAACTCTACCAACTCAAGGGATTAATTTGGTTAAATGTGCTCAGATTGTTTAGGGGAAGGAGCTGGGAGGTACAGCTAATGGCTTCTCTTCTTGGCAAGGAGCCCAAGGAGGTGCCAGGCTGGTGATTATTTTTTACCTTGCACCGGCAGTCCCTTGGAGAATGCATTTCCTTCCCAGTTTGGGACACTAGCCATTATTTTGAACAGTGCCCTTTTCCTCTAGCCTTTCAAGATGAAACTCCTTTTCCTTTTATTATGTTAACATACTATTTCTTCCTCCTCATCCTGGAACTTGCACCTCCCTTTCTCTACCTTCTGAAAGGGTGTTCAGGTAATGTGGTTCAGGAGTTTCAATACAGTGGTACCTCGGGTTACATACGCTTCAGGTTACATGCGCTTCAGGTTACAGACTCCGCTAACCCAGAAATAGTACCTCGGGTTAAGAACTTTGCTTCAGGATGAGAACAGAAATCGTGCTCTGGCGGCGCGGCGGCAGCGGGAGGCCCCATTAGCTAAAGTGGTGCTTCAGGTTAAGAACAGTTTCAGGTTAAGAACGGACCTCTGGAACGAATTAAGTACTTAACCCGAGGTACCACTGTACACTGTGCCTAAGGACCAGTGCACACACTCGCCTAACTGAATGGTGGAGGAGAGTGTGTGTTCTCACATGCCACCTCCATCATGCACAGAAGAAAATGAGAGCTGCATAAGGCCATTGTACAATCTGCCCCCTACTCCTTTCTGAACTGGACCTATGGGGTTCCTGGGTATGGAGCATTCATACCCCACATTACTTAGAGTACTCAGGTACTCTGGCAGCCATTTCTGGGCCAGGGAAAAGAATTATTTGCACTTTTTATGATTATGTAAATCTTTTCTATCTTAGTGTATTTTAAATATACTGTAAGTTGCCTCGTGAACTTTGCTTAGCAGGCAGAGTATAAATACTCCAAACTAACCAACTGCTGGAAATGGAAGTTGTCTCAGTAGGAGGCAGGCTCTCATTTTCAGGAGCCCCTTCCGCAAAGATGGAATGGCCATCTGCCAGGGAGGCTGGATCTGACACTGAGCTGAGGCTGGTCTATAAGACCCTTCCAATTCTGTTTTTCCATTGGGCAGTCCAAGGTTTCCCCAAAATGAGGGCTACGGTTCTGCTTGTTTTGCACTGAGCCTATATACCCTCCAAGTATCCCTATTTTCCAGGGACGTACCTGATTTAGAGAAGCTGTCCCAGTTTCTGATTTGATCCTGGAATGTCCCACTTTTCCTTAGGAGGTCCCTATTTTCATTGGAGAAATGTTGAATGGTATGAGCCTACACACTGGGGCATAATGAAAAAACATCTCTTTGGGTCTAGGAAACTCTCTCACTGAAGCAGTTCATTAACATTAAATATTCATTTGGATAAAATAAAACCCCTATGCTAACTACTAATGGTAGTAATAGGGTCCTTGCATAAGTCAGATTTCTACCCTTCGTGTCAGAAATAATCTCTTTTTGCTGTCACCTCAGCCACCTCAAATGTTAGCATAGATAAAATGGTATTGTATATTAAATATTGGGTTTTGGGTCTTAAATATTGAGTCTGTTTCTCAATATTTATGTGAACAAGTCAGGGTTTATCCACATTTGAACATTATTTAGCTGTTAGTTAATTTTCCTCCCATGTGAATTAGACCAGAGTAGACCCTACCCAGATAAATTTGAATTTGTATATAAGAAGCAACTTTGGTCTTTCCTGTTCATGTCAGTCGGTGCTCCCTTTTCATTTGTCCCTGCCTCCTAATTTGTCATGTCTGTACTGCCAATGAAGTACTGACAGGGCCCGTGTGCAGATAGCTGTGCTTTTAAAAAACAAAAACAAACCACCCAAGAACTGTGCAAAAGCAAACAGGCAATTGTATTTTTTGTTGTGCAGCTTTCTGTGCAAATCTGAGGGATCGAAAGAAAGAAAAAACTTCATCTTCCACAGCACATGGGAAATAGTTATGAGCAACAAATGGAAAAGAATTGGAAACATTGAGGTAGTGACCCCAGGTGCAGCAGAACCCGGTTTTTCCCACTTTATCAGATTATTCCTGTAGTGGGTAAACCCGAATTTACAGGAGAGAAATAACAAGGCTGGTGTTGTTTGAAGGTAAAATCATGTGGACTATGCAAATTATATGGGAACACAAACAGCTATAAACACACAGTCAATTCCAGTGTGGACAAGCCCTCATTGAGTTCAACACATGTTGTTGGAAAAGCATAATACAAATATTAACCCAAATCCAATATTAAATCAAATTGTTGGTAATGAGGTGAAATATAGGCATTTATAATTAATATGTGCTTTTTGGTTTCTATTTGAATTACAAATGGCTCAAGGCAAAACCTGCTTTAACCTTCATGTGTGAAAACACTTTTACATTGCTTCTGGAAGATTCTCCAGCTTCCTTCAGAAGTGAAATCAGAAATCCCAGGAGCCTCTACCAGCCTTTCTCAACCTGTGGGTCTCCAGATGTTGTTGAACTACAACTCCCATCACCCCTAGCTAGCAAGGCCAGAGCTCAGGGATGATAGGAGTTGTAATCCAACAACATCTGGGGACCCACAGGTTGAGAACCGCTGCGTGACAAAAACAAATAGAGACTCATGACCTCAGCATTGCTTTCTTTCTGCTTTTCCCTCAGAGTGCCATTGGGATGATAGGGGCTCTTCAGGAGGCATTTATTCAGGGCAGGTTTTTGAAGCCGGTCAGAATTGGCTTTATTTGATGCACCCGATGTGCCTACAGGGAATTAATTTGCAGCACAGGGCTTTGTAATTTCATGCTAGAACAGCATAAAATGGAGGAAGAACAACTCATCCAGAAGGAGGAGATTATGTAACAAAAGCAAAGAAGAATCTGTAGTGACATTAAAGATCCTTTGGAATAATCTTCTTGCTAGTTCTGTAATTCTGTATACCCCTCTAATTGGTTTTAATCAAGAAGCTGATAAAAAGAAGAAAATAACCCAGAATTAATTGGCTTCAGTTCCCTAAATTTATTTGGACAATAAATATATTTCAACTGAAGAAATGTATCACATCTTGTACAAATTTATTATGATTAGACACCCCTGCACACATACACACCCATAGCGTTTCTGGCTTTCTCTTTAAGCACATTACAACTCTGGTAAGTGGTTGCTCTTGTGGTCTATACACAACCAAGAAGTCTTTGCTGCTACTGAAGGCAAATTGGGTTTTTGAATGGAGACCTGCAACCCAACAAGTGGCACCTGTGTAATGCACATTTTGAAACACCAGCCTGCCACATTTGCATTTTACATGTTCGGGTCTACACTTAATTTAACACCTCACCTAAAAGAACAGACCTGCTGGTTCAGACCAAAGGCTTATCCAACACCTATCATCCAGTGAGAATGCTGTGAGGCCAACCAGATGCCCATGGGAACCCCACAAGCAGCACATGAGCTCAACACCACTCTCCTCAGCAACTAGTTTTCAGAGGCATGTTGTCTGTGATACAGGAGATAATATATCATGTCTAGTCTCCCCAGATTGGTTTATCCTCCACGAATTTGTCTAATCCTCTTTCAGAGCTATTCAAGTTGGCAGGTGTAATCTTGTGGCAGCAAATCCTGTAGTTTAACAATGCTCTGTGTATAAAGGCACTTGGTATCAACTGTCCTGAATCTGCCAGCTTTGTTGGAGGACCACAATGTGGTACAAACACTGTGCCTACTGGGGACAGAGATAATAATAATAATTTATTATTTATACCCCGCCCATCTGGCTGGGTTTCCCCAGCCACTCTGGGCAGCTTCCAACAGAATATTAAAATTCAATAGTCTATTAAACATTAAAAGCTTCCCTAAACAGGGCTGCCTTCAGATGTCTTCTAAAAGTCTGGTAGTTGTTTTTCTCTTTGACATCTGGTGGGAGGGCGTTCCACAGGGTGGGTGCCACTACGGAGAAGGCCCTCTGCCTGGTTCCCTGTAACTTGGCTTCTCGCAGCGAGGGAACCGCTAGAAGGCCCTCGGCACTGGGGAAAGGACTGCATACCTTCAGAGGGAGGGACTTTATCCTCAAAATGATTGGCCAAACAACCAGAGCAGGTCTACCCTGCTCCAGAGGCCCGTTCCCACCAACACCATTATTATTATTATTGTTATTGTTATTATTACAATATATTTTTATTAAAGATTTCTTAGTTTACAAAAAATATGTGCATTGTCTCTTTTTTCAAGTTGTGTTTTCTACAAATCAGTTTCAATTTTTTTTGTGAGACATTAGTATAGCATGCAGTAATAGATTGGGAAGAAAAGAGGGGGAAAGAGGGGGGATGGTGAGTGGGGTGGGGTGGTAATGCTTCTATTCTTCTACTTAGCGTATGTGTGGGGTTTTGTGTCAGTGTCACTTGCTGGACTATTATTTGAGGATGTAGCAGAGGCCATGAAGTAAGACTTCTTTGCTGCCTTTATTGCCACATGGTAGATGTGATTATGTGTTCTAACCAGTGCTTCATTGGCCTTAGAGTGAGACTTACGCCACTGATCGTAACATGGAGGCAATGCCTTATCAGGTGTCCAGATAAGCCATGAAAGTGAAGGTGATGCATGTGTGAAAAAGAAGCCCATCAGAGGTGCATGTGTGTTTGTAAATATGAAACTATCAGTAAATACTCGGGCTTCAACAACATGCTTACCAGTTGCAGACTGATGGTACATATTGCCACTTATGGCTAACCCCATATTTCCATACAGTTCCCTTTGCTATCTGCTTTAAGAGTTTCAAGTGAATGGTACTGTTGGTTAATCATTATGACATCAGAGTGATGTGAAGGTATACGTAGGGAAGAATTCTGAACAAATATCTTACTCTTCCCGCTGCCTTCACAATATTCCCTAAAAAGGCACGCATAAGTTGATGAATGGGGAATTATCTAAGTCAGGGATATGAAGCCTGTCAAACAGCTGCAAAACGGCATTCTCCAAATAAGATGCGGTCAAAAGAAAGAAACATTGTTCAGGACCTGAACAGGAGTATAAAAGACAAATCGCAGTCCCTCAAGAAATGGGTGGAAGAACTGGATAGAGATGTGGAGGTGGTTATGAGCCTGATAAATGAGAAAGAGGAAAAGATTAAGAAATTAGAAAGTCGTAACAGGAGCTTGGCACACATCAATCGAAAACTAGGCACAAACAGGAATAATGCCATCAAGGTTTTTCAGCATCAGGATGATAAACCAGGACCTGCCTTACAGAGTAGAGAAAGCAATGAGCAGGCCAATGTAATTCAAGCCAGAAGAAAAGAGCCTCATTTATCTATGAAGAAGCCTGATTCTCATTTGGCAAGGACCAATTCCGATACAGAAACAACGATAAGAGACCCTGTGGAACAGTCTGAAAATATTAGGGGGGTACCTGTACAGTATCAAATTACTCCAAAGTTACCAGAGGGAAATGAGAGAATGAGTGCTGAAGACTTACTCATAAGGCCTAAACAAGCCAAATTGTCAGATTACCTCTCCGATCCTTTAAAGCTTTTGCATGCAGTTTTACTTTGCGTTGGACTTTGCACAGTTTTCATACTATTATATACCTACTTCTTCAACAATAACTTCATAGTTAATAGCCTTCTCCTGCTGCTGAATGACCAAGACCTTGCAGAACTGATACAATTTTTTTCGCCATGCCTTACTTGGAAAAATAATGGCCTAATGCCATTTTAAGAATCACTCTTCTCAACCTTCTAGGAACACCTAAGATCACTTTATCGCCACTTTAAAAGCAATATGTACTTTAAATTTATAATTTCCTTGTATTAAAAAAAAAACCCACTCTCCAAAAGTATGTCATCTGATTCTTTAACTATTTTGCTAACATGAATTAAGAATTTCAGCAAGGTTTGTTCTCCTGTACAGAAGACATCATTAAAGAAAGGCTGTATCTCAGAAGTAGCTCAAGTGCTTTGTATACAAAAGGACCCAGGTTCAGTCCCCAGCTTATCAAGGTAGGTTGGGAAAAACTCCTGTCTAAAATCCTATACAGCTGCTGGCAGTAAGTGTCAGTCATACTATGCCAGATGGAGCAATCACCAGACTCAGCCTAAGGCACCTTGCTATATGTTCCTATATTCATATTATGTACCATGCCAATTTAGGTGTTTAATGCTACAACCCACCATTTGCTAGAGATCAGGCCCCATTGAACACAGGGTAACTTACTTCCAAGTAAACATGGATAGGATTATGATGTTACAGTGCAGTACAGTAGTTGCGTGTTTACTCAGAAGTAAATTCTGCTGCATCAGTTGGGCTTATCCCTGACTAGTAAGTGTGTTTAGCGTTACAACCTTACAATGTGATTTTGAGAACATTCCAAGACATCTTAAAATTGTATGTTGCTGATGATTAAGAATGCTAAGAAATAAAAGGAGGGTAGTTCTTTAATTCTTCCAGAGTTTATTTACCCAGGGAGGTAGACTGGTCAAGTAGGGAGGAAGGAGAAGCCCTCTTGCAAGAGCAATGCCTGCTCATGCTACATTGGGTTTCACCCATCTTTTGCTTACATTAGCTGCTTCGGTCTTTACTTAGGGCCTACCCAGAAAAGTATGAGAAATAAAATGTCATATATATATATATATATATATATATATATATATATATATATTCTAAATACACTTGACAAAATTTACCAAATGAAGCCATCACAGCCATGTTCAAAGGGGTTTCAGTGGGAGACCTCATTTGCTTTTGGAAGAGGCTACAAATACATTACTAATGTCTTTTCAAACCTCTATGCATACATTATTCAAAATCTTTACAATAATCCTGTAAAGTTGGTCAGTATTATTATCTGCCCACTGCAACTGGAAGACTGAAGCATAGTGCCTTGCCTAAGGCCACACACCCATGAGCTGACACCAGAGGTGAGCTCTGAACCAATAGTTTCCTATGTCACAGCTACTCAGAATTAGCTGTTATGCCATGCTTCCGCTATCATGACTTATGTAGCAATTTCACCTCATGATACAGCAATTGTATGTTTGTTCTAAAAATCAATTTAGGAGTCAGGAAGCTGTGAGTCCAAAGTCTGGAATTAACCTATTCTCTTGGTTTGTAGGAGGCGGATCAACTTGCGAAAGCCTTAGATTTTCTTCTCTCTCATTTGTGCTGGAAGCTAGAGGAAGAAGGAAGAAAAGTCACAGAGTTTGCTTGGATTTGTGAATAAATGTTTTCATTGCGGACATTTGGCCCAGATGTTCCATATTTGCACTAGGCAAGCTAGGCAAATATGTTTCGTAAGTGCTTTCAGAGCACACTGGCAGATTTAAAATCAACTGAAATAAACAGATAGCATTTTGCGACAGGCAAATAAAAATCCTAAAGATCAACATGGCAACCAGCCAAGTGGCAGCCAAGTTGAAGCTTCAGAATGGTATTTGACATTTACGTGTAAAGCAGATACACGAAGCCTGCCAGGCAGAGGCCTGTAGATAAACAGAAAACTGAATAAACAAGATACAGAAAATGAAAACTTTACCGTAGGGAGGGGACAAGACTGATACGCCATTGGTTTGCTTATATGGGGCAATGTAGCCTTGGAGTTTAGTAACAGTAAGCAATAATAATAATAAATTAAAATCCTGCAACTTACTGTGGTTCCTTTCAGGCATATGGTCATGAGAAGATGGTCCTCCATGAAGTAAACAGAGAGAAGAATCATCGGGGGGAAATGCCCAGATTACAATGACCAATGAAACTATGAAATTCATTGCCATAGGATGTTTCTGTTGGTGACTAGGATGGAAAAGAGGATTAGGTACACATGGGAAATGGTTCTTTTTGAAGCTTTAGGCTGCAGCAAACAGACATTGAAAGGCAATAATATACTGCTGAGACTGGGGAATGGCAATAGGCTACAGCTGAATTGTCATGACCTGCATGTAAAAACTTCCTTGTAACTTTTGGTTAGTCACTGTTGAGAGACAGAATACCAAGCTAGATGGACCATTGACCACAGACTGATGCTTATTTAGTTCTAACGCATGTTTTTCAGTTTGGGAACAATTCATAAGGATTCGAGAAAGTAAGCAGACAGATCATTTCAGACAACATGGAGTCGTTTCCGGAATTTCTCCAAAAAGCATCATATGAGCAAAAAGCATCCCGCTAAGCGGGATCTGCATCCTTTTCTGAATGTCTCCAATAAATAGTGAATAGCATTTAAAATATGCAGAATGTTTTTACCCACAATCACAGGTTATTAGTATGCATGTCTGAATGCTGTTAATATAGAACAGAAATGGGAATGGCGAAGGTTTGCCTTTGGGTTTTATTTTGTATATTCTGTAGTCAGCATAAAAAATGTAGATGTAGGATATGCAAAAATCAGTCAAGGTGCTGCTTGTGGAAAAGCTCGTATACTTTCCTCTTTATTTTTTTCGTGCACCTGTGCATACTAAGGAAGGTTGGTGGAGTTTCAGAAGAGTTTCAGGGGATTCTGATCAGCAGCAGGACCACAGGGGGAGGAGAGGGAGAGTTTGTCCTTTTACCCCACATAGTCTCAAGCTGCTGTTTGCATCAGGAGCCAAAAGCCTCCATTGATCTCCCCATGCAAGTTATAGAACCGTCAGGGAGTAATTTTCATTAGAACAATGACAAGAGGGTTGATCTCTCCCTTCTCTTGCAGTCCCATTGCAGCTTTGACTCCACTATAGCTGCTATTTACAGTTTTTAAAACAAACATTCCTATTAGTCCTATTTGCACAATTAACATGTAGTCTGATCCTTACATTGCTGTGAATGCCTCAGTTCCTGTTCATGCCCAGTACATGACAAAACAGCTGTAATGTCACTCAGCTTCATAAAGGACCACATCACAGTGTACAATCCAAGATGTGTTTTCATTTCCACAGCAGAAGTATGAAATACTGAAGCCAACAGTGAGATGGGGCCAAGATGATTATCAGAAGCTGAATCCCTTCAAAATGCCTGTGTCTGCCTGATTGCCCACACCCTGCAGAATCAGTCTCTTGACCTTTCCTCCAGATGCAATGAAAATGTGCCTGTCCTGTCTTGAATGAGGCCAACATGCACTGAAGACCCAAGCCTACTATGAACTGTAGACACACACACACACACGATTGGGTTATCAAGCAGCAGTCCATTTAAAAAAATTATTTCCCTCCTTTTCTCTGTGTGTATAGGGGTGTGTGTGTGTGTGTGTGTGTGTGTACACACACAGCCATCAAGCACTTTGTTTGCTCAGGTTCCTAAACAAGACATTTCACCCTGAAAAGGACAATCATCTAAAAATGGGGAGCTCTCCTCTAAACACTTGGTATGTTTACAGCTAGCTTTTCTCATGTTAATTGCTCTATAGCTACAATATGGCAAAATGCCCTCTTACTGGAAAACAGCCAATAGGTATACAAAGAACAGCTTGGAACTTCAAGTAACATTAAGGTAACAATGCTCTGTTGAAATCAGTGTTACTGCTTTCAGTCACGCCAGTAGGGGGAAAAAGTGCCCCAGAAAACACTCCTTACCTGAAAATTTACATAAACACGTTACCATAGAGACACCCCCTCGAGCTTTGAGCTTCCTTTAAAACTAGTCACTGTTCTTCAAAAGTCTCCCCTCCCCCGCCCCCATACCCCTGACAACCTGTCAGACCCAGGAGGAATAGCCCAGTGGTAAGCTGGAAATAGAAAAAAAAAACTGGTACTTCAGACCAATTATGCTGTACTGTATCGTTTAAAACTAAATATTTTTCCAAGGGGAATTTTTGGACTGGGGTCTTTAAGACGACAGGGTTTTAAGGCTGACAAATGTGCTAGCGTGTCAATGTGGTAATGAAGTTAGTTCTGCACCGAGTGCAGCATGAAAAACAGAAAATTTCCTTGCAAGGTTTGTGATTAAACATCTAACAGAAAATAATGATTTGCTTGAAGGCACTCAAGCACCAAAAACAGTGAGGTGACGGGGGAGAGAGAGAAACAGGATATGGTAGGGGGGTGGGGGGGTGGAACCTGCTGAATGTCACTATTGGGAGCTTCTATTATCTTAAAATCTCTTTAATATTCACTGTTAATTATAAAAACTAATAGCTATAAAATTGGAGTACCCAATGGGGGAATGTATGACATTCAAGTGGCAGAACCTCCTCCCCAGCCCCAGCCCCCACTTCCATTCCTACTGCCTGACTTTCCACTTCACACATGAAATTGATAGGAGCTGATTTGCATGTCTATCCTGTTACTGCAGGGAGAGGAAAGGATTAGCTAAATTATAGGGGATAAACACAGTTTCACTGCATAAAAGCAAAGACTACTTGTAATGAACCAGAGTCAAAAGAATAATGATGTTGACTTTGCTTGAGAGAGAGAAATGTATTTTTTCACAGAGTTAATGAGAACAAGACGTTGGAATTACCCTCCATTTAAATTTCATCAATTCACCAAAAGGACAATTTCCAAAGGGTTTTGCTATTTATTTGGTGACTACCCTGCTCTGTCTCAAGGGCCCAGAGCTAGAACACTATTGCGCTTTTTGAGAGGTCAAGAAAAATACTTCAGATGTCTAGTTGGCATATGAACATCAGAACCACCTGCTGGATCAGGCCAATGCCCCATCTAGTCCAGCATCCTGTTCTCACAGTGCCCAGCCAGGTGCTTATGGGAAACCTGCAAGCAGGACCCCAGCACAAGAGAACTCTCCCCTCCTGAGGTTTCAAGCAACTGATAATCAGAAGTATTACTGCCTCTGACCCTGAAGGCAGAGCATAGCCATCATGGATACTAGCCATTGACAAACATATTCCCCCATGATTCTGTCTAATCCTCTTTCAAAGCCAATGAAGTTGGTTGCCATCACTGTCTCCTGCAGGTACATAGTTTAACTATGCACTGTGTGAAAAAAATGCTTCCTTTTATCTGTCCTGAATCTAACACACTAACAGCACCATTATTTTAATCAGAGGTCATTTTTGCTGTTGCTAAAATTGGAAAACAATGCATCTCACAAGTAGGGTGTTGTTGTTTTTTAAGTCACCTTGGTATTGTTCCTATTAATCCAGCATGTTTTAAACACATTGAAACGAAAACAAAGACCCCCCAATGTGTTCAGCTGGATATGATTGCCACCTGAAAATATGTGTAAAGAGCTCCTTTCCCATAGAGGCCGCCTGAGATGCTGGCGTGAACTTGATTCACATTGAAATAACTTTCATTTTAAGACTGCCCATGCAATGAAGATGTAGTCCTGAAATAAATAATGATTGTGCTATAACGTTCAATTTTGTCTCTATTGAGCTGCTCAACCAGGTGTTGAAACCCAATAGAATTTTCTTTTCTCCCTTTGAAAAGCTATTCCAAGTGCTGCATGACTGAAGAATGGCCACTTATTAACTGCTCAGCAGTGCTTTCCACTCTTCTGCTGCAGTCTCCAGCAATTGTCAGAACACCAGTTCTGCCAATATTAATCTAGTCCAATCACTAACTATGACAGTGTGGTACACAATTATGGAGACAGGGAGGGATGCGTGCTGTTTGGTCTAATGTCTGTTTTATAAATTGAAGCCTGGAATCTATTTATCTGTTTGGCAAAACAAGCAGAGTAATCTTTATTATTGCTTTATACTTACTATGCCTTGCCTCCATGAACCTGACTTTAGAAATGGATAGCAGCCATTCTTCTTCTTCCATCTTCCCTTTTGTTCCAAACCATGTATCTGTGACAGACATAAAGGCATAGCCCACCAGCGTGAACAGAACCACTGTCTTTGGGGAGTAAAGCAAACATTTAGTTTTATTTTTAGAAAACACTGCTTAATATAATAAAAATCTTACATGGGGGGGGGGGGAGATACATCAATATTACACCGTATTTGAAGATGGTCATTGGTTATTGTGATGGGATGAGGAGCTGCTTGTGCGTAAAATAGTATCCCCTCAGAGTTTGTTCAAGTCCACAAACCTCTGTCTGTGACGGAGCCCCTCAGACATGGCTCCTCTAGTCACTAGCAGATTCCGACAGTGGTTGCTTTGGAATCGCTTCCAACATAAAAGCTCCTTAACGGAAACACGTCTTCTGGACTCTCTGCGTGACAGTTTCCGGCGAGGAGTGGGTGTTCCTACAGGAGGTCCTGAAACCTCCCCACTGTTTTCGCTGGAAGTGTCTCTGAGCCATCCCTCCAGCTCACTTTCCCTCAGCTCAGCTCCTCTCCCCTACTGGTTCCCTCTTCAGCTGCTGAGTCTCTCCCAACCTGTGTGAGCCCTTTCACCTCCCTTCCTTCCGATGGCAGTTCCCTGACATCCACCTCCCCTCCAGGGCCCCTTTCACCCCCTCTCGCCCCCTCCTCTACGGGCGGTGAGGAGGCAAAACCACGGAATGAACTTCCTTCATCTTCCGATGTCTCGAACACTTCTCTCCACCTGTTGCGATTCCTGGTCTCGAAGTACTCCTCCTCCTCAGAGTCCATCTCCCCTTCCCCTTCCGAGTCCGGGAATCCTTCCAACTCCTCCTCCTCATCAGTGGTCCCAAAGTATTCCCTCCGGAACCTCTCCACAGGCTGAGGTTTCCTTGGGAACCTTTGATGGAACGTTTCTATCAATACCTCGTCATTGATATCTTCGGCCATTACCCAAGTGTTTTCTGACTCCGGTTCTCCTTCCCACGCTACCAAATACTCCACCTGATCCCCCTTCCACCTGGCGTCGAGGATTTCTGCCACATGGCTGCTGCATTCTCTTTCTTCTATGACCGGTCCCCGAGTGGCCATCCCTTCTCGTCCCCTTCGTACGGTGACAGTAACGACCTGTGAAATACTGGGTGCAGTTTCATGTGGTTGGGTAACCGGAGCCTGAAAGCCACTGGGTTGACCTGTTGAATGACCTCAAAGGGACCCAACCTCCTGGGTCTTAATTTCTTACAACCTCCTTTGAACGGCAACCCTTGGGTTGACAGCCACACCCTATCTCCCACCCTTATGGTTTCACCTTCCCTTCGGTTCTTGTCTGCCTGCCTCTTGTATTCTTCCTTCGCCCTTTCTAAGTTGAGTTGGAGCTGACGATGGATTGCTTCCATTTCTTCCACAAAATGCTCGGCTGCCGGGACGCTCCATCTCTCACAATATCACAATGTCAAAGCCCTGTGATGACACCCATAATTAGCCAAGAAGGGGCTCATCCCTGTGGACACATTCTCGGCATTGTTGTAGGCAAATTCCGCCAGCGCCAACTTTTCTACCCAGTCATTCTCTCTGTCATTGACATAACACCTCAGGTATTGCTGGAGGACACCGTTTGCTCTTTCCGCCTGCCCGTTGGTTTCAGGGTGCCGGGCAGTCGAAAAATTGACCTCCACCTGCAGTAAGCTCATGAGCTTCCTCCAGAACCTGGAAGTAAATTGTTTTCCTCGGTCTGAGACCACCCTCAATGGCACCCCGTGCAACCTAAAAATGTGTTCTACAAATAACTCGCTGTCTCTTCCGCCGTGACTGCATGCGAGCAAGCTACAAAGTGGCACATCTTTGTTAGTAGGTCTACCACCACCATGATGGCTGTTTTCCCTTTGGACTTCGGCAGATCAGTCATAAAATCTATCGACACTGCCTCCCAAGGTCGTTCTGGGGTTGGTAAGGGTTCTAATAGCCCCGCCGGCGCCCGCCTTTCCCTTTGGCTCGCTGGCATTGCTCGCACCCTCTTACATACTCACGTACATCTTCCCTCACCTTAGGCCACCAAAATTCCCTGGTGACCAACCACATGGTTTTGTGTTGTCCAAAATGCCCCGCCGTAGGGCTGTCGTGCAACTGCTTGAGTACCCTCCCCCTTAAGTCTCCTTCAGGGATATATAGTGCCCCTTTGTAATACAAAGCTCCATTTCTTTCTTCGAAACCCCCTGGTTCCTCTCCCTCACCCCTAAGACCTCTGAGCTTATTCTGGGCGTATTCATCATTCTCTGTTTCCTCTACCAGTTCTCTTTGTCCCACCAATGCCGCCCCACACACCCAGCGGTCCTCTGGAATGACATGTCTCTCTTCGGGTGCTCCCTCCCCTTCCAAATATTCAGGTTTGCGTGAGAGAGCGTCCGCCCTAATGTTCTCTGGGCCTGGCACGTAACCAATCTCAAAGTTAAATTTGGAGAACTCCTGGGCCCATCTCACTTGCCGTTGGTTGAGCACTCGTGCCGTCCTCCAATACTCTAGGTTCTTGTGGTCAGTGCACACTTGCACCTTATGTTGTGCGCCAATTAGCAGGTGCCTCCATCTCCGGAACGCCTCATGAATGGCTAGTAGTTCTCGGTCATACACCGTGTAGTTCCTCTCGGATTTGTTCAGCTTTCGCGAAAAAAAGCACACGGTCTCCACTCTGACTCCTCCTTCCCTGGCTGCAGAAGCACCGCCCCAATCGCTCTGTCTGATGCGTCAGTTTCCACTCTCATCGGTTTTTGTAAATCCACATGCAGGAGTTGTTGTTCCGAGGCGAAGGCCCTTTTAGTTCCTCAAATGCTCGCTCCGCCTCCTCAGTCCAAACGAACTTCTTCTTACTGCTGAGACAGTCCGTAATGGGCGCCGTCAGGTGGGCAAAGTTTCGGATGAACTTACGATAGAAGTTCCCAAATCCTAGGAACCTCTGCACATCCTTCCTTGTTTTGGGTGTTTTCCATTCCAGCACCGCCTGGACCTTGCCGGGATCCATGGCCAATCCCTTGTCTGACAGGCGATACCCCAGGAATTCCACCTCCTTGGTATGAAACTGACACTTCTCCAGTTTCACCCACAGCTGGTTGGCTTGCAGCCTGCTCAACACTTCTCTGACGTCTTTCACATGCTGCTCCTCATTCTCAGAATACACCAACACGTCGTCTAAGAAGGCCACACAATTCTTGTAAAGCAAAGGCCCCAGGACGTGGTTCATAAACGATTGAAAGCATGCGGAGCCTGCTTGTAGGCCGAAGGGCATAACCAAATATTCAAATGCCCCTAAAGGGGTGAACATGGTGGTTTTCCATTCATCCCCCTTCCTTATTCGTATAAGGTTGTACGCCCCCCTTAGGTCCAGCTTTGTGAAAATCTTTCCCTTCCGCACCCTTGTCAAAATGTCGTCAATCCTGGGCATAGGGAAGGCCACTGGTTCTGACACTGCATTTAAGGCCCTGAAGTCACACACCAGCCTCGGCTTGTTCATGTTTTTTTTATCCACAAAAAACACTGGGCTGCACCCCACCGCCCTGGACTCTCTGATGAACCCTCTCTTCAGGTTCTTGTCAATGAACTCTCTTAGCTCCTGCATCTCTCTGTCTGACATGGCGTACAGCTTGCCTACAGGGAGCTGTGCCCCAGGGAGTAAATTGATTTGACAGTCAAAGGGTCTATGCGGGGTAGTTGGTCAGCTTCCCTTTCGCTGAAGACGTCGCGGAGATCTGCGTATTGTCGTGGTACCTTCACGTTCTCCGTTACTTCAGTCCCTGCTAGGGTGGCTTGGGCCCCTGCCAAACCCTTTCCCTCTTTGCAGTGTTCTAAGCAATGTGCTGAACCAAAAGAAACCACTCTCTGATGCCAGCCCACCAGCGGATCATGTAACGCTAGCCAGCTCATCCCCAATATAATGGGAGCTCCTCCCAAGGTGGCCACATTAAACGCTATCAGTTCGGTGTGCCTTGCCACCTTCATTATCATTGGGGCGGTCTGCAAGCTGACTTCTCCTCCCAACAGCTCCCTGCCATCGATCGTGGTCACCTGCAGGGGGTTGCTTAAAGGATCTTGTGTATCTGGTGTTCAGCTGCAAACTCTTTGCTCATGAAATTGCAGGAGCTGCCTGAGTCCAACAGCGCCTTTATCTTTAGAGGGTGTCCGTTTGGCAGCTCTAGCGCCACTTCTATCACTAGGGCGGGTTTAGGAGGTTCTGGCGTGGGCACTCTCACTGCTCTTTGGCCTGGCTGCTGTGCCCCGACGGTGGCAGCCAGGCGTTGGCTTTACTTGCTCCGGTATTTCTTCCTCTCTTCCCTCCACAGCTCCTACCATCCCTTGCCATTCCTTCCTCTGGGGGCAGACTCTGGCAAAGTGACCTGGCTGTTGGCAGAGATAGCATTTCCGGGCGCGTTTTCCCTCCTTCTTTCCCCCTTCACTGGGCTTTGAAACTGCGCGCGCGCGCTGTTCCGATTTCCATCGGCTCTGCCGGCGGGAAAGTTGGCTCTGGAATGTCTGGAATGCGGAACTCCTTCCAACGGTCCCCTTCCCTTCCCGCCTCTCCAATGCTCTCGCCTCCTGGCGCGCTCCTATGGTCAGCGCTGATTTGGTCAGCTGGTCCATAGACTCCGCCCTGGGCGCCCGGGAAAGTTCGTCTTTCACAGCCGAAGAAAGCCCTTCTTCAAAGAGCATTTGAATGGGTTCCGCCGATAAGTCCCACCCCAATCTGTGAACCAGCATGGTGAACTCAGTCCAGTACTCACGGACAGATCGGCTCCCCTGTTTGCAAGCCATTAACTGTCTGCGCACCACTCCCTGTTCAATATCGCTGGAAAACATCAGATCCATGGCGCGAAAGAACTTCATCGTGTCCTTTAGGACGTCACTATTCGCTGCCATCAGGGGTCTAACCCAGTCTCTCGCCCCTTTTTCAAGATGCCCAATCACGAAAGCCACTCGTGATTCCTCGTCAGGGAATTCATCAAACTGCAGATTGAGGGCATATTGCATCTCTGTCCGAAAGCCATGATAGTCTTTGGGCTCCCCCCCAAACTTCTGCACCAATCCTGGTACCTTTCTGGCGAGCTGGGTGGCTTTTCCCTTTTGGTCTGCATCCTGAGCCCTCCTCTCCTCAAGCCTCGCCGTCTGCAGCGCTAGCTGGACCTCCAACACCCGGTACCTTTCTTCCAGGCTTGGACCCGCTCCAGCTCCTGCTT